AGCTACTTGGAAGGCTGAGGCGGAAGGATTGCCAGAGCCCAGCAGGTCGAGGCTGCAGTGGCCGCTCCCGGTCTGGGAGACTGAGTGAGACTCCAATTCACAAAAAAAAAAAAAATGATTAACTCAGATATGACTTGCTGAGGATAAACACAGAGTTTTGCCATTTTGTTTTTAAAAATCAGCTCTGCAAGTACAGCATGAGGAAAGCCTGAGATCTAGAGGTTTTAGTTGACTTTAAGTTTCAACATTATCACCTTTCCGGCCTTATTTAATTTAACTCGTGTAAATTAAATATTTAATTATTTATTAAACAAGTTAAATTATTAATCTGTTAATTAAGTTGAACAAATAAATTATTATTTATTAAACAAGTTAAATTATTTTATTTAAGTTGTTTAAATTAATTTTTTCTGGGTTTTTTTGTTTTTTAATAAAACTTTTTGCCAGGCACGGTGACTCATACCTGTAACCCCAACACTTTGGGAGGCGGAGGTGAGAGGATTGCCTGAGCCCAAGGGTTCAGGACCAGCCTGGGCAAGTTGACAAGACCTTGTCTTGATAATATATCAAAAAATAAGTCTGGCGTGGTAGCATGTCCCTGCAGTTCTAGCTACTTGGAAGGATGAGGCAGAAGGATCGCCTGAGCCCAGCAGGTCGAGGCCACGGTGACCACTGCATGCCAGCCTGGGTGATAGAGGGAGACTCCAACTTAAAAATAAACAAACCATTCCCAGCTCCTTTTTCTTGACTTATTGTAGAGATGAGGTCTCATCAAGTTTCCCAGGCTAGTCTCGAACCCCTGGGCTCAGGCAGTCCTCTCGCCTCTATGTCCAGCATGAATCTTAAATTCTAATTTGACTCAGAAAATGTACCCAGAAGAGTTTTTAAAACTAGTCTCAGAATTTGTGAGATCAGTTGAATTGGCCAATACCCCCTTTGCTTAATTATCCTAAAAAGCTTCTCCGGGGTTCCTAAGTTTCCTAACCTGTGTCACTGCGTGGACTCACTGATAAAAATCCAGAAATTTTCCTGGTTAAGCCAACTTTTAGAAAGGTCCCTGTAAAATTCATTCTTCAGCTTTTTCCCCCCAAAGCTTTGGAATCATGAATCAAAAGTTACCCACTTTTCCCCCATGGAAAGAAGTATCTCTGTGTTTAGTGAACTGCTTTCAAGTATTGTAAATTGGAGTAATTTTCTCTTGGAAACTGTGTTGACAAGAGATCTGTGAAGAGATGACTTGGCCTTTTTGTGTCGCTTGAATATAAGCTGTCCTTGGAAGCACGTTGTGCTACAAGAATTCAGATTTTAACTCATAAAGTCATTAACATCAGTATCAAATGCTGTTTGGTCAGAATATAGACGTGGACATGGACTCTGGAAACTGAAGTGAAATGCACAGCTGAGCGGTTGCTTTTGATGGAAAGCGGGGCGGTGCTTTCCTCGCTGTGGGGTTTTGTGCATTTGAGGTGGTGCGAGGAAGCACCAGTGTACAGATGTGGTTTTTCTTTCTCTGTTCACCAACCCTTTGCTCCAGGTGGCTCAGTGGAGGCACTTGGGATGGCGGCCGCGCCCGCTGTGTAAAGCTCAGTTGGGTGTTTGCACGTTCCTGGTTAATATTCAGGAGTAACGCCACACTGTTGTCTATATATGTACTCCCTGAAAGCTATCGTCTAAGTTTTCGATGATTGTGGCTAGAAAAGAATCCAGTCCCTCCGTGAGTGAACATGTTATCTCGTCTGTCGACAGTCACGTTGGTTGGCGCTCCGGGACTTGGGGAGAGGCAGCGGAAGTGGAGCTGGCCCAGCAACTCCGGCTTCTTGGTGGGGACATCCACTGCCCAAGAGGCAGGCTGTGGTGACAGCAGATCTGAGACATTGAGGTGGCGTCACGGTGTGTTCTGTCAAGAAGTGTTGGTCTTAGAATCGCATTCATGCCATGTGGGTACTTGGTATAGAAACACCCCACGGTGCCTGTCATCCCAGCACTTTGGGAGGCGGAGACAAGGGGATTGCCTGAGCCCAGGGGTTTGAGGCCAGCCTGGGCAATTGGCGAGACCTCATCTCTACAACCAAAAAAAAAAAAAAAATAGGAGCATTGTGTACAGCATTCTGTGACAAGTTGAAAATAACAAAGGGATGTTTCTCCACGCTGTTTCTGGGGTGGACTGGCGTGGGTGAGGCTTTCCATTTCCTCCTCGTAAGTGTGTTGATGGTGCGGGCAGATGTGACTCAGACTTGTTAAATGTTGGGTATTAGTTGATTGCTGGAAACTTGAGTCAAGAAATGCCTCCCAGGAGTAGGTGTTTAATTTACTTCCTTGTAGTTCAGTTTCACATATAACACTTGAACTTCTGAGGTCCTTCCTGTTCTCAGATCTGCAGTGTATATTTATAAACTGTGGCCAGGATGTCAGGGTATACCTAATTGCGTTCAAATGCATGTTATTGTTGTCTTGATCCCTGAAGGTATGACATCTTGAAATACGGCCTGAGTTTCACTTACGGTCCCAACGGTGTCTGTGTTATCACTGTGGCAGCCTCAGCCTCAGCAAACCTCCCACACCTGAGTTGTTCTCTGCACAGCCGTGGATGCCGTGGCAGGAAGCAAAGCTAAGACTGGCACATTTTGTCACACGCAGCTTCCCCTTGGTGTCTGAATGACGTGCCGGCCTGCCTTGGCACTCACTGCTGTAGTGAGTGCCACCTCCCTGCCTTCTGAAGTCCAGGTCTCACCGAAGGTGACCTTGTCAGAGAGGAACCTCCATTTTGGCCCTGAGTGCTGCTTTGATTTCAACAGGACCTTTCTAAGAAAAAGTCGCTTGAGGAAAAAGTGTCCTTATGGCAACACACAGCATATCCCAGTTGACTGACTGGTAGGAAACCCCCAAGGAGGCGTTTCTTTCCTCGAACCTTTAGTGGGGAAACAGGAGTCCTGGGGCACCTGGCCAACTCTCCTCAAGGGTTATGGGTCAACACCCAGGACCCTTCCATTGTGCACATGTAGGTCACTCATCTTTCAGGACGCCAAGCTTTGCTTTCACTGTGGGAAGCCACTCGGTGGTTTGGCTCTGGTAAAGCGTGTTCTGCTTTGGTCTTGGGGACTGTGACCAGCATGACGCAGGTCTCAGGAGTGTGTTCCTGTTGGCTATTAGAGTACTCACATCTTAAGAATGGGCCGGGCTCGGTGGCTCAGCCTGTAATCCCGTGCTTTGGGAGGCTGAGGTGAGTGGATTGCCTGAGCCCACGGGTTCGAGACCTGCCCAGGCAACTTGGCGAGACCTCATCTCTACAATAAATCAAAAATCAGCTGGGCGTGGTAGCGTGCACCTGTAGTTCCAGCTACTTGGAAGGCTGAGGCAGAAGGATCGCCGGAGCCCAGCAGGTCAAGGCTGCGGTGGCCGGGAGCGGCCACTGCACTCCAGTCTGGGCAACAGAGTGAGACTCCAACTCAAAAAAAAAAAAAAAATCTTAAGAATGGGACTGTTCAGAGTGCTTGTTTGTGGTCTGTGTGATGAAGGTGGTCCCCGTTGAGCATTCCGTATGCCTCAGATACTGCTGCAGGTGTGCCTGGCAAGGCCATTTCCACGGCGTGTTCTGTTAGTGTGCACACTGCTCCAGCGACAGCTGCGGTGTCCTGGCGTGCTGCTCGACAGCAGTCCTCCTGGCCTCTAAGCCAGGGAAGGCCTTTTTCGCATTTTCAGACTGCTTGATCATAAGTAGCTCATGTGGTTACCATGTCTTGCCAAGAACTGGCTCTTGGGGTTCTGTTCACCTCTCACGTTCCAGATGAACACAGATGTGGGCACCCTCCCCACTGGAGCATCCTTCCTGCTCCCAAGGTCATGCGAGAGGGGCTTCTCACGGGGGCAGTGGTGGTCGTGGTCACGCCTCAGGGAGGGAGGCTGGGAGGCTGCAGCAGCGCTGGCCTGTCTCCGTCCTGACTGTGAGTGTCTGGGTGTCCTCGAAGTCTGTCTGCTTAGCAGACGGAAGGCACGGGCCTGGAAAAGGTGCTCCTGTGAGTGACATCTGCAGAAACATCAGGAAAATGGGAAGAGAAGGTGCTTCCTTTCCAAAACAGTGAAAGTGTGATGTAGAAGACATTTTGTTTTCCTGAAATGTCTATCCAGGACACCTTTCACAGTTGGAACGGGGAACGTTTAAGTGATGCCTTCAACAGTGGCAGCAACCGTGTGTGTGTGTGAGAGAGAGAGACTGTGTCACAGGTGGCCAGGTCTTCAGTTGTGGGGAGAAGCAGAGTCAAATCCCAATCCAGTGTTCTTAAGATTTTGAGAGGCCAGTCTTGATTTCACGGCTCTTGACATGGTTTTGCAAGGTGATAACTGAGTTCCTCGGCTTCTGCCGGCCAGCGGAGAGCTTGCCTGTTGGACTTGGAGTGAAGAGGGCCTCTGCGTAAGGCAGCGTGGACCGCGACGCTCGGGACAGCGACCACAGCACGCCATGGCCTAGGCTTCTGCCAGGAGAAGGGTGCCGAGGCATAGGCGTCTGCCGGCTGCTGCCATGTGCAGCCTCCCGCCGTGTCCTGCTTCGTTCCCGAAGCTACTGCACGCACGAGAGAGGGGCCTCCGTGGAGCTGGCCGCGGCTAGGTCTTCCAGCTCGAGGACTGGCGTGCTCAGTGGTATCGGGTCCTGCTCGTTTCTGAGTCTTCACTTCCCGTGTCCCCAGCTCCCCTCTGGCTCCCCCGCCCCTGGAGGCATCTCCGCCCGCGGGTTGTACCCCACATGTGGCACCAGGACGATTGGGGTTCTGCAGGTGTGAGCCCTGCGTGCACTCGCCTCTTCACGGTCGTGTTGGTTTTTCCTGGCCAGCGACGGGCTTCCTCTTTTGACGTGGTCCTGTTCTAAGCGCTGGACTTAGTGAGAGGAAGGAGAGACCCCGCTGTCACGAAGCAGACAAACCTCTGTTGGCCACTGAGCTCAGGATGTCAGAGCTCCAGAACTGCCCAGGGTCGCACACAGCAGTTTCAGGATTCCGGCAGGGTCTGACTGCAGGTTCCCCGTCTCTCTGTGCCTTGGAAAGTTCCCCAGAAGCTGAGATGACTTTGTCACCCGGCACTCTTGGTGATCCCCCGTTTTTTTATTTCTTTGAGTCGGAGTCTCACTCTTTTGCTCAGGCTGGAGTGTAGTGGTGTGACCACCGCAGCCTCAACCTGGGTTCAGGCGATCTTTCCACCTCAGCCTTCCAAGTAGCTGGGGCCACAGGCACGCACCACCACACTCAGCACATTTTTCTTGATTTATTGTAGAGATAAGGTCTCACCAGGTTGCTCAGGCTGATTGTAAATCCCTGGGCTCAGGCAGTCCTCTCACAATTCTAAGTATTTACGTAGGAATCAGAAATGCGCACAAAAAAGCATGGATGAAGGCGTTCACTATGGTCTTCGTGATAGGAGAGAAAGACAGTTCACCCAGGCAGCTGCGGGGAATCTGGCTGGGTGAACTGTAATACAGACATGTGATAGGTCCGCGGTTCTTAGTTGTGGGATTCATGCCATAGTAAGTGAATTAAAGCATGGTGAAGCAGGGATGCGCTGGGCTCTTCTTTGGTGAGCACACCTTCTTAGGGACTAGAAGCCATCCATCAGCTGGGAGGGCTGTCCCAGAGAAACCGCATGGGCCCAGGGTGTCCATACTCGGGAAGCGTCTCCACATACAGGCATCGTGCACATGGGGCCGTGGCTCTGCGTTTCTGCTCAAACACCACTCTGCAGCGGTGTTGAGAGGCTAAGTCGAACCCTTTACGTTAAAGTGTTAGGCTTGTTTTAATAGTTTGTATGTTATTTGAGTATTATATTCATAGTTTTCTTTAGAAGTTTGCTGAATTTTAAAACGGGGTTTAGAATCGTCTCTAGGTTATACGACCACTGTACATCCTTCAGATAGTCTGAACATTAGTATTTTTGCCATCAAGTAAATCTATAATAGGTATCTGAAATCCCATAACTTTCAGTTGAAACTGCACATTGCAAGATATATTTTCTGTTGTGGAAAAGTAAGTTTCTCAGTAATGTTCTAAGCTCATTAATGACCTGTAGATTTATTTTATTTTTTTTGAGTTGGAGTCTCACTCTGTCGCCCTGACTGGAGTGCAGTGGCCGTTCCCGGCCACCGCAGTCTCGACCTGCTGGCTCCAGTGATTCTTCCGCCTCAGCCTTCCAAGTAGCTGGAACTACAGGCGCGCGCTACCATGCCCGGCTGATTTTTGATTTATTGTAGAGATGAGGTCTTGCCAAGTTGCCCGGGTGGGTCTCGAACCCGTGGGCTCAGGCAATCCACTCACCTCAGCCTCCCAAGGCGCGGGATTACAGGCTGAGCTATCGAACCCAGCTGACCTGTAGATTTTTTTTTTTTGAGTTGGAGTCTCACTCTGTCGCCCAGACTGGAGTGCAGTGGCGCTCCCGGACGCATCCCGTAAATTGACGGTTTAAAGCATTCAGTGCTCACAAAAAGGAATGAAGGCTGTGTACCTTAAGAGTTTTCTCGTTGTGTGTTAAGATATCTGAACAGTCTTTGCTTTCTGTGCAGCTCAAAGCTTGGATTCTGCCATGCCACTCGTGAATGGCGAGACAGAAGACGACGGTGACAACATGCACGTTGATAGAGAGTTTGCTGTCGTAACAGGTGGGAGTGGACAGTTTCCTGTTAACTGCACCAACAGCCCCATGGTCGAAGACGCCCACCAACAGGAGAGTGCTTCTGTTGGACCCAAAGAAATAGAAATATATACTGTTTCAGCAATGCAGACCCCTTGCCGTTGCAAGAATCAGTATGCATATTATTTCTAACATGAGTCTCTCTCAGACTTTTTTGCACTTTGTCTTCCATTGTCTTTTAAAAAATGTTACACGATAATTTGGGTATCTTGGGCAAGTTTGTAGATACATAGATAAGTGTTTTGGGTGCAATCTGTGAATATGAAAAATATAAGTGCAATCTTCCTATTCTGATTTGAAGCTGTTGCTTAATGTGCCTTGCTTATTCTTGATGAGGTCTGCATTTTTAAGTTTCTGGCATGTGACCTTGGGGGAACATACTGAACGTGCCACGGCTGGTCTCTTCAAAGCAACAGTCACACAGAGGACGCCCAGTGTGGCGCTGAGAACTGGTGAATGCTGTGGTTCTGACCTGTAGCCCGGCCACACCAGCTTGGAAGCTTTTTCCCCGCACCCTGGGTTGCTTTGGTTTCTGTGGCCTTCGGGCCAAGTCTGCTAAAACACTGAACACTGTTTCACAACACGTTTTATACATGAACATCTTTAGTATATCAAAGCAGTCGGGAGTCCTAGTTACCATTTTTTGAAGGCAAAAGCTCAGCTCTTATAGCACTGAGAATGTCTGCAGTGATTTGTCCATTTAGCTCATGCTGTTTCCTGCTGTTCCACTGCTTAGGTGACTACAAGACATTCTGGCCATTCTCTTAACATGTTAGTGTATTTGGTAGTAGATACTTATTTTTAAGTTGCGCTATTATGTCTTTGTGCTAAATTCTTCACTGGGGATGCAAGAGTATTTTGTTTTCCAGACTCATGAGAAAGTTATTTCTGTTCACTAGAATTGAGGAAGTGTGTGTATTTTTCTAGAAGCTACCAAATTGTTAGGAGTAATAGTAACTTTTTTGCCAAATAAAGTGAAATAGACTTTCCGAGGGAAATTCTAGTCAGTACATTTAAAATAATAGACTCTGTAGCCAGAGGCTATTTGCCCTTGGCTAAAGAGCCCGAGCAAACTCAGATTCTACCTTTTTCAAGAACCGCAAACTCAGATTCTGCCTTTTTCAAGAACCGCCTTGCTGCAGCTTGGGACCAGCATGAGCCATCACACTTCGTCTCACTCCTTGTTGAACTTCACCCAGGCTTGAACATGCTTCAAGTCCAACCTGTCCCGTGTACCAGATGCGAGTGTGCGTGTCCCGTGCTTCTCCTCTTTTGGTCCATGACACTCTCAGCCTGATCGGACACTTTATATTGGATCATGAGCGGTTACTTGCAGTTTTCCTCACGTGAAAGGGCCTTCTGTGTCCATGTCCACTGAGAGCTGGAGAGGTCTGCCCCCTCAGTCCTTGGGGCACCATCACAAAAGTCAGACTGTCATCCCGCAAACATTTCTGAGGAACTTCAGATTTGTTCGGGTAGAATTATCTTTAAGGGTTACACGTTTTTGAAAAACTGGGCACACGTAATGTCTTCCCATCTTGAGAGCTCCGAGTTTGAGGCTTAGGGTGGGATGGCGAGTCCTTATTTCCTGGAGTGCTTTCGTACGTGTCCAGCCCTTCGTGGGTGGGACTGGCAGCCAGGTGCATCCTGTGAATGCTGGGCAGATGGGTGGGCAGCGTGAGTCCCGACACCCAGGGGCACACGGCCTGCAGGCCCTGCCAGTTGCCTGTATGAGATTATCAACTAACCTTGACTTTGAGATTAAATAATAACTTACTCTAACTGGGAACTAAGGAAAAAGTCTACTTTATTTTATTTATTTATTTATTTTTTGAGTTGGAGTCTCATTGTCGCCCAGACTGGAGTGCAGTGGCCGCTCCCGGCCACCGCAGCCTCCACCTGCTGGGCTCCGGTGATCCTTCCACCTCAGCCTTCCAAGTAGCTGGAACTACAGGCGCACGCACCACACCCAGCTGATTTTTGATTTATTGTAGAGATGAGGTCTCGCCAAGTTGCCCAGGCGGGTCTCGATCCGCGGGCTTTATTCTTTCAGTAAAAATCTATATACATAGAAACATTAATAACAACGTTGTCATCATATTTGTGAGTTTTATCACCTAGGAAATAATTGTTTATACTTTACTTTTTTGGGGGGAAACCATTTTCCCCTGGGAATAACCTGTTTTATTCCTTTTTACAAATATTTAGTTCTTGAAATATACTTGTTTTCTTTCTAGTCTTGAATTTTAACTAAATAGAAACGCTATCACTTAAATTGAAAAAAAAAATTCTATTATACTCTGGAGAGTTTATAAAGCAGTTATTAAACTATGATTGTTGCATACATTGCCAAAGCAACTGACGATTAATGGAATATTCAGATGTTTTTGTTCCTTGAACAAGCCATGATCGTTTGTTGGCATGAAGATTTAAGGACATATAGAACCCTCTGTCGGAGGCTTGTAGGCAAGGCAGACGGGACGCCCTCGTGGGAAGTCACGTGGTATCAAGTGTGAGGGTAACGAACGTGTTTTACACTGTCCTTATTCAAAAAGATACTGGAACTGAGCTCTTCTAGATTTCATATCATGCCTTGCTTTGATAGTGTAGAACATTGAGGTGACATTTATCACTACCAACCAAGAGATCATTTTAGGTCATCCTCTCTGCTGTTCTTTGAGTTCCTGTGAACACAAATATGATTAATCCTCGAGTTCCAGTATACAGAAAAATCGTGTGTGACTGCCTGTCCCAGCGTGCCGAGTGTTTTGCGACATCTGTAAGACATCTTCCTCCTGATGGATGTCTGTACGTGCACAGTAAACTGTTGACCTTTTTTCCAGCGTAAGTGGTTTTTGAAAGTTCCCTAATAAAGTGAAGCCTTGGCTCTCGTGGTCATTTTGACTGTTGGACTGAGAAGAACTCCAGAACTGTGCCGCTGGCCCTCACCCTTACGCATGGGGGCCGCCAGCCTTCCAGTCCTCTGCACAGGCGTTGGTTCTGCTGGTGGCTGGCTCTCGCCTGGCGTTTGCAGGAGCACTGTGTAGACTCCAGTGGTGCTGAGGAAAAGGGTCCTTGTCATGTCCCTGCACACACCTCCCTGCCCGTGAGAAGACCTAGACGTTGTGCAGTGCTGTCGTGCACAGTTCTTAATTCATCACCTTGTTTTCTTCCCTTTTTTCCTTTTTCCTTACAAGCTACAGAAGTTCTGCGTTTTCTTGAACCCTTTGTAGAAACGTTACAACCAATTCTGATGGGCCTTTTCAGGGTGATTTTGTTAAACCGCCCTCTAAAGAGTCTTAAAATGAGAACAGGCTTGGGGCGGCTTTTCGGGACTGTTGGTATTTTCCATGCAGTAAGTTTGTCAGCCTGAGAGTTTAAGTTTAGCTATCCCCTGATACCGAAGTGCATACACTTTTCCTGTCTTGCCGGGCCAATACCACTACTGGTTTTTATTTTTCGATCTAGGCACACTGTTTTACTTTGGGAAAGGATCTGGTTTAAAGGGAAAAGACTAAATGAGTTCTTGGTGTGGCAATGGCACGTTTTGTAGTTCTCACTCGCTGGTTCTGAGTTTTGGTGACAGGTGTATTTCTTAATGCAGATGTGAAAAACAGTAGCTCCGTATTGAACACATTGACAAATGGATGTGTCGCCAATGGACACAGGGACTTCCCCTCCACGACCCCGCTCGGTGGGACGGACGGCAGGAATGGCCCGTGCCTGGCGGCACCCATCGGGAGTAGCCCTGGACTCGCCCCGGGACAGCCGTTCCCCGGTGGCAGGGGCTCCCTCCGAGTCGGTGGGCCTGAGGAGCCGGGAAAGCCCGCGAGAGCAAACCCTGAGCTGTGCGGGTCCCTGCACCTGGACGGGAGCCCAAGCAGCTGCGTGGCCAGCAGGCCTTCCTGGGTGGACGACGCCGGGGACAACTTGTACTACGGACACTACCACGGCTTCGGGGACACGGCCGAGAGCATCCCCGAGCTGAACAGTGTGCTGGAGCACTCCAACTCCGTGAAGGTGCAGGAGCGCTACGACAGCGCCATCCTGGGCACCATGCACCTGTACCACGGCTCCTAGGCGGCGCCAGCGGGGGGCATCCCAACTTGGACTGGCCCGCACCGCAGCTTCCTCTTCCCACCCCAGTGAGCGCGTGTCTGACCCTAATGGGGCTTGCTGAGCGCATAGGCCCTTCCACCGTGGGTGTGGGTCCTTCTGCAGGATGCCAGTCTCAGTATTTCTTTCGGAATGCTGTCACAGGACGCTGCCACTTTTCCTTCTGTCAGATTGAGTCATGCGCTCAAGGGCAGTAAGGGCAGTGAGCAGGTGCCTGGGAACGAATCTCTGCTCGCACTCGGGCCTCGACTTTGAAAGCTTTTACTGTGCTCTGGAGAATCCACGACAGAACACAGCAATTCCCTATGCAAGGCACAGCCTTACAAAGATCGCTTGCAGTGGTTTGTGTGAAGAGAAGGACGCTTGTCTCTTTCCGTGTCTTTCATTGCAAGTCACCATGTGGTGAAGGCGTTAGTCGTAGACACAGTGGTCAGGGACCAGTGGTCCCTCCTTCGATGACATAGATCACTGCCCGGGCCTCTGGAGAACAGGCCCAGCCTGGGGCTGCATTCTGATTTATTGTGTTTTTATTCCACCACTCCTCCTTGGTCTCTAGAACTTTTACCACAGATGCCAGATTCCTTTCTATGTTGTGGAAGTTACTATTTGTAGAAACTGTCAGGTCAAAATATTTAACTGACTCTTTGGACTTATGTTTTCTTCCTTCCTTGTTTTTTGGGATTTTCTGCTTTAAAATATATACCACTATGTATATCCAGTTACCTGAGAGAATTTTGACTCTCTCTTATACAACTGCATTAAGTTTATGATTTTATAGAAGCTAGGTTTTGTTTAGGCAACTAGTGGTCACACTGTGCAAATATTGTAATGAATTTTTACTTTTCTGATTTTTTGTAATAAAAATTGGTGCAGATAGAGAACATGTCAACCGAACAAACCAATGTTCTAAGATTGTTACTAACATTTTGTTTAAACTGTTCTTTATGAATTGAATAAAAGACTCTCATGCAGTTTTGCCTCTGGGGTGTGCTTTCTCTCTGGGCTGGGGGGACTGGGGTGTGGGACAGGAAGGGGAGGTAGAAGGTTGAAGGTTAGTGTTGCGTTTTGTTTTGCTTGCAAGACTTTGCTTTATTTTTCTGTTTCTATATAGTGTAGTGTCCACTTTTGGTTTTTTTAATGTACTCTGGTTTTATGGGCACTTTTCTTCCTGAATCTTGGGGGGCGGGGGGAGTCTAACGGGGAGTCTAACGTGCATGCCAGCCATCCTGGTATTGTGCCGGTCACGTTCCAAGCTTCTTTGGCTTCAGCACATACCAACATAGTAAGCTTTTTAGAAATACGACAACAAAGTTAGCAGCATTTGCAGTTACTAAATGACAACAAAGTAGCCATTCGGGCATGCCTGCCTATGCTCTCTAAAATATTCATTAATTCCTGCATTTTCTTGTTCGACTTAAGAGACCAAAATGAGGGAGCTTTAAACTTTGGAAGAACTGGAGGAGAATGCCACTCTGTCCCTGCCGCCACCTCCCAGGCCATGGCAGACATCAGTAATCAAGCCTAGAACCTCGGAGTCTGTCTTAACAGACTGGTCCAAGGAGCCCCCACACTGCTCTGAGTTTTTAAGACAGATGGAACGTAATGCCAGTCCCTGCTCGGACTGCCATTAAGGATATTTCAGAGACTCGTGTTTGGATATTGGCTGAGCAACGTTAAGTGTATCTCTTGAGCTAAAGATAGAAACGTGATTAGTCTTGGCCATTGCCTTGCTAGACTCTGGTGTGGCCATGTGCTCTTTGAGCTATGGCTGTCTCCACGCTTCCTGGCACTGACCTGCCCTCCGCCGCCCATCCCCCCGCCTTGGGGAGGTGACTCTTCTCTCTCCTTTCTCTTTCTCTAATTTACTTTTAAATAAACTACATTTTAATCCAAAAAAAAGAAACTTGATTAGTCTTGGGACTTGGGCAGACTGCGACTACTTCTTGGGAACAAGAATACCGCATGGCCTCTCCAGTGGGGCCATGTCCCCCCTTTGCTGTGTTCTGGTTCTCTTCATGTAGTGAGATCTGCAGTTCGGTTGTCATATTCTAGGTAAGAGTCATTGACACTCATAGATCAAGTTCTTATTCAGAGACAGGAGTAGGGTGGGATTATGCCGTGCCTGGGATTTGCTTCAAAATATGGGTGTGGGGAGTGGAACGGAGACAAGACTCCAGCCAGATGAGTGTGAGCTGACGCTGACATGGGTGGAACATGGAGGCATGGCCGTCTGTCTAATTCGTTATTTATTTAAGAAGAAAAAAATTTTTTAGTTGCCTGTATCTGCAGGGCTCAGGTGATTCTTCCCTCTCAGCCTTCCCAGTAGCTGGAATCACAGGTGCACACCACCACACCCAGCTAATTTTTTGATTGATTGTAGAGACATGGCCTTGCCGTGTTGCTCAGGCTGGTCTCAAACCCCTGGATTCAAGCAGCCCTCTCACCCCCGCCTCCCAAAGTCCCGGGATGACAGGCATGAGCCACCACACCCAGTCTGCAAGGAAAATATTTTTTTTAATGAGAACTTATTGCTCTTAATAATTTAAGAAATTGTGGGATGTCTTTTTTTTTTTTTTTGAGTTGCAGTCTCACTCCATCGCCCAGGGTGGGGGACAGTGGCATGCTCACAGCCACCCCAGCGTCAACCTGCTGGACTCTGGTGATCCTTCCACTTCAGCCTTCCAAGGAGCCGAAACTACAGATGCACGCCACCACGCCCAGCTAGGATTAGATCTTAATGTGTGTAAGCCCTCAACACTGAACACTATAAAACATGGCTCCGAGATGGAAGGCCTAAGTATATTTTTGGCTGAAGTATGTAGAGAGAATCTGCGCTCATACAGGTAGGTAACCAGGAAGGAGGGCTGTGTTTTTTGTGTGTTTTTTTTTTTGAGTCGGAGTCTCATTCGGTCGTCCAGACTGGAGTGCAGTGGCCGTTTCCGGCCACCACAGCCTCGCCTGCTGGGCTCCGGCCATCCTTCCGCCTCAGCCTTCCAAGTAGCCAGGATTACAGGCATGCGCTACCACGCCCGGCTGATTTTTTGATTTATTGTAGAGATGAAGTCTCGCTGCCCAGGCGGGTCTTGAACTCGCCGGCTCAGGCAATCCACTCACCTCAGCCTCCCAAAGGCGTGGGATTACAGGCTGAGCCACCGAGCCCGGCTAAAAATACTTTTTTAGTGGTGCTTTCTGAACCAGCCACCACATACGCTGTCACACAAGCCGCGAGCCATGCTCTCCCTGAGACACGTGATGTCTGTGGCTCAACAAACCCTTTCTGCTGCTTCCCTTCTTGTCAGGCAGAACGCGTCCTCGAGCTGAAAGTTAATCAAAATCATTTCTACCGCATCAAGGATACTCTTAAGTGAAACTGGGTTTTTTTAGTGCCACGCACGGCCAAGAGATCCAGCAGTCTGACCGCATATCTGGATATCTGGGCCTTGCTGACCATCAGTGCAGATGTCAACACTGCAGGAGGCGGTCGTGGCAGGCCAGCTGTGACCTTGGGGAACCCCTGACGTGGCCCTGGGGAGCCCTGGGGTTCCGCAGATGGGTTTGAGAACTGGGATAACCTCGGGCGTGATGAGGTCTATACAACTAAGTGACCAGTGCTTGGGGACATTGAGGGCGTTGGTTGAAGTTCTCGCTTTTCCACAGATCGGGTTTCTGATTCTTTTTTTTATTTGTGGAGTGTAGTGGCATGTTCCCAGCCACCGCAGCCTCGACCTGCTGGGCTCCGGCGATCCTTCCGCCTCAGCCTTCCAAGTAGCTGGAACTACAGGCGCGCGCTTACCACACCCGGCTGGTTTTTGATTTATCGTAGAGATGAGGTCTCGCCAAGTTGCCCGGGCGGGTCTCAAACCCATGGATAGGCTCAGGCAATTCACACCTCGGCCTCCCAAAGTGCTGGGACGACAGGGTGAGCCACCGAGCCCGGCCTGTTCTTTTTGAAGGACTACAGAGGATGGGAGAAGACTCATCAGGAAACAAAACAAAACTTGGAAGAGTTTTCTGGAAAAAGGGAGGCCAGCGTTAGGAAACTGACGGAAAAGAGGGAGGAGCTGTGGTTCTGGTCCAGGTGGAGACGGAGGCTCGCGTGTCCCTCCAGGGACAAGTCTGCAGCTGCCAAGGAGAAGGCAGGTCCCTCGAGAGGGGCGGTCAGTTCTCCAAGACGGGGGTGGCGTGGGCATCAGAATCCCATTTGGAAGAAATGAAGTCACACACATGTGCCTGTGCATGTGTGGCAGGACGCCTCCATCAACTCCCTTGTTTCGAAATTAGGACTGATTCACAGGGAGTTGCAGGACACACACACCCGCGGCACCGTGCACCCACACCCTTGCCTGGCCGTCCTGTCCTGCAGAGCGAGTTCAGGGTCGCAGCCAAGACGTGTTCGGGTACAGTCTTCAGATGTCACCAGCTTTGAGTGCACGTGTGTGTGTGTGTGTGTACAATGGCATTTCTTCACTTTCATCACTTGTGTAGATTGGTGTGACATTCAAGGTCCAGAACTGCCCTGTCACTGCGAGGTTCCCCGGTGCTGTTCCTTCATAGTCACGCCCTTCTGCACCCGCCTGTAACCACCTGTTGCTCCATCTCTGCTATGTCATCTCAAGAATGTTATGTGAGTGAGGCCGGGCACAGTGGCTCGTGCCTGTGATCCCAGGATTTTGGGAGGCCGAGGCAGGAGGATCACTTGAAGCCCAGAGTTCAAGACCAAGCTGGGCACTGCGTACCTGTCGTCCCAGCTACTTGGGAAGCTGAGGCAGGAGGATTGCTTGAGGCCAGGAGTTTGAGACCAGCCTGGGCAACATAACAAGGCTCCATCTTTACAAAAATACATAAAATTAACCAGGTGCACTTGTGGTCCCTGCTACTTAGGAGACTGAGGTGGGAGGATCACTTGAACCCAGGAGGTCAAGGACGCAGTGGTCTGGGACCACATCACTGCACACCAGCCTGGGCGACAGAAACAGACATTGGCTCTACAAACAAGATTTTTAATGAATGTTATGTGGATGAAATCATACGGCATGTGACCTGAAAGCATTTCTGACCCAGGCACGGTGGCTCACACCTGTAATCCCAGCGCTCTGGGAGGTGGAGGCGAGAGGATTGCCTGAGCCCAAGGGTTTGAGACCAGCCGGGGCAACATGGCAAGACCTCATCTCTACAATAAATCAAAAAATTAGCTGGGCAGGGTGGCATGCACCCATGGTCCCAGCTACTTGGAAGGCTGAGGCGGGAGGTCGAGGCCGCAGTAGCCGTGATCGTGCCACTGCACTCCAGCCTGGGCGACAGAGTGAGACGCTGGCTCAGAAAAACCCACCTTTCTGTTCTGGCTTTTCCACTCAGTGTAATGCCCTGAGGTCATTCCACATCCACAGTCGGCCCTCTCCATTGCTGAGTGCGCCCCCGCCCCCGGCCGTGTGGACGCTCCAGAGTCTGGCCTCTTCCTGCTGGAGGACAATCAAGTCGGAGGCGCTTTCTGAGCTGTCTCACCTTCTTTGTCGTCTCACTCTTCCTCCTCCAGCCCCAGGCGGCCTGCTCAGGGCTTCGCTGCTCATGGGCGTGGTGGTGCAACGCCCAGCCTTTTCCACAGTCTTGGAGGGGGCCGTGGGGCAGCATCCTTGCTGGCTGTGCCCCGGGCAGGTGGTGCCACGGGGAGATGGAGCTTGGACTGGAGTTTCCAGCCTCTCAGAGACTGTGGATCCCAGACAGCAGCAGAGGGGGTGGGTGGCCTGGAGGGGCCCCGTGGGCATCTCAGCAGAGCCTGGTGTGGGACCAAGGAAGTCCCAGAGATCAGCGATGCCCTCCAGCCAGGGCGGAGGCCTCGGTAGCAGAGGCTGCCTTTCTTGCCTGCCCGTGCAGATCAAGGCGCAGCGTCAAAGCCAAGTGGTTTGTAGAAAATCTCCCAAAATACTTCTGACACACCGTAGGGAATAGCTGAGATTCATATCGTAAACTGAGA